GACTGCCCACATACTAAGCTGATGCTGGTAACCAGCAAAGCTAACATCAAGGACGAACAGGTCTTTATTATACTGCTAAATGAGTTACCTTCCAAATTATTAGCACCACCAGGAGCTAGGAGCACAGTTCTCAGTCATCCAGACAATCAAAATAATTCTAGCTTTTGTAATTTGTTCCTGACAGCCCGAGACATCAGTAACAGCACAGAGACTTTGTGCACATCATTTGGCAGCTCCAGGCCTGGCACACGCTGTCTCTGCCAGTCCCACCCAGAGATCCAGGCAGCTGATCCAACTGGCTCAAGAAGCTACCAGGACTCTTCGAGAGTGTTCAATCCAGGCTGATCGAAAGCCAAAAAAAATTAACTCTGCTCATAAAGGACAGAGCATGATCCTTTCGAGTGCTCCATTTACTTACACCAGTCTTCAGCAACTCGGCATCGGACAAACACCACAGTTGTGGTCGCCAACTCCAAGAGGATAATGATCAAGCTCAGAAAGGACCAGAGCAACAGCATAGGTCAGTGGTGCACAGAGAAGCTCTCTGGTCAAGGGAGGTTTGGCAGCATAAGTCTCCAACCAGGGAAATGCTGGAGACTCATAAAAATCATAAGTATGCAGAAAAAAAGGAATTGCTATTCTCCAGACCTTGCTATAAAAAAAAAATCTAGAAGGCACCAATGGAAATCTCAGGAAGCTAGTGATGAAAAAAGGGATAAGCAGCACTTTTTCTCATGGTATGTAATTAAATCATGAGACCCATTACCCAGGATATAATGAAGCCAAAAGTATAGACAGGCTCCAAAACACAACCAAGGAGGACGATCCCCTTGGATCACACAGTTTAAAACATAGACTCTTCCCCCCCCCCCGCCCAAAAAATCCCTAGACATCCAAGTTTTGGGAATCAAGAAGGTAAGGATCATTTTATCCGTGCTTTGCTCTGCATTATTCCTCTAAGCAGCCACCCTATTACACCAGCCTCCGCTAGAGAGTTGTCTGCAAGTTTAACCCAGTACAGCAGTTCTTCGAGCCATTGTATCCAAAGCCCAGGACACCAGGAGAAGTGTCCCTGTGAACTCCAACAGGAACAGGTCTGAACCCTCCAGGTCCTGACTCCAGGCTCATAGCTCCATCCACGGCCATCTGAGGGGTTTCGGTGTAGGGAGGACTTTGTTCCCAAGATGACTGTGGATTTCTGAGGTTTTCACCCCAAGACAGGTTGCAGCAATAGAGTAGAAAGTCCCTTTGCTCCTACCTTGGGAAAAGCGCATATAGTCCTGGGCCAGTTGACAAATTACATTTTTGAGTGATTTAGAGCTGCTAATGGGTGATGTCATCACTGGCGCGAATGCAATCCCATAAAAATGTGAAAATAAAATGAGCAGGAGCTATAAAATATAGGCGTCTCTCCACAATGGCAACAGGCACATCACAGCAGGGCAGCTTTCCTCAATACTCATCTACAACTGGAGGAGTTCACAAGAAATAACTAAAAAAATTACAGAGGAAACAAAATCTTTCAAGGAGCGGCAATCTACTATTTTCCCAGGCCTTTACTAACAGCAAACCAGCATGCTTCCTTGAAAGTAAATGAGAAAAAGGCACCACAGCATTGCTGTGGAAAGGAACTGAGGGAGGGTTTTCTGGAACAACAAACCAAGCCGTTTTGGGCCACTATCTGTTAGACTCCAGTTTAGCTCAATAGGGTATTGATCCTGCCTCCATATAACGCAGCCCTGATTTATTCTCTGATCAACAAGTTCTACTGCCTGAGTTTCACAAACAAAATGTCCATCACTACAGGTAAATGGAAAAAAAAAAAACCACTAACATATTTATCAATAATGCCAGTGTGCAGGCATTGAGCAGCAAAAAAGGAGGTTGGAAAAAACAGGTGGAAAGGGTTACTGCATGATCGCTGTAATATTTACATAAGGGTAAGTTCAATAAATGCAGAGCCTTCCCCCACAGCCTCCTCCAAAACACACCCAGACACTGGCTGGCCTTCTTCCTATGGAAACAGCTAACAAGAGCAAAGCTGCTCTTTGCTTTTATGGGTTTTCGCTAAAAGCTGAAAATGAGATCAGATTTTCTGACATTCACCATTTACCTTAATAAAAATCTGCACTCAACAGGATTAGCAGGTGTACAACTCTGCGTGTGGTATCATGAAATGCATTTTCATGATCTTTATGCTCCCACAGAAAAAAAGAGAAATCAAAATCCCTCTATAATATTGAAGATCAATGTGAAACTGAGCTTAGGAACTGAAAGCTGCTCACTGCCTGGGAAACACGAGGTAACATTTTCAAGTAGCAATCTTGCACATATGGCAAAGGAAAGCTTTTGATAGAGTAGTAAAATGATATTTCAAAAACTGATGTCCTACCTATCTATATTTATAAGACCACATTAAGTACGAGTTTACCACTGCCCTCTTTTATTATTCTCTAATAAATTACAGAACCTGCTTGATCATTTTTTGAAACAGAGAGGTCTGAGGCTACCTTCCACAGAAAAGAAAATTAAGGTCGCTCTTGTGTCACCACCTCGCAGCCCCTCCCTGGAGAACCATCGGGTTTGTCAGGGGTAAATGTAGAAATGCCGAGATGATGTCTGTCTCCAATAAGTGCCCTTGTTCAGGCTTCCCCTCGTTAGCTGAGCTGGGGCAAACAATGGGCAGGTGAAAAGATTTCTGGCCAGTGATGGAAGCCCGAGGAAGAGGAGCTCCTGCTTTCTAGCACAGACCCATGGCAACGCAGGAGTGAGCTAAGAACATAATAAGGATCTAGGAAATTCAGAGCAAAACACAACAGGCTACAGAGAAAACACTAATTCAATCCCCTGTGTGAAGCTGCAGATCTTTCAGTGTTATTTCTCTACTCTAGGTCCCTCCACCTCATTACTGGGTTTGGAAATACAGCCCCAGATTCAGGAAAGCATTTATCTACCCAAGCACACGAGTAACCCTGTTCTTTTCAATAAGCCCCCACCCACCCCCGACACCAAAAATCTGGCACGAGCTCAAGCGCCTTGCTAAATCCAGCCCTCGAATTACAGGATTAGAGGTCTGCGGATCTCCTCAGTGGAGACGACTCTTGGACTTAACGTCGATCGGTTTACACTTTGCCTTCCCTGCATTGCCTGCCTGGTGGGAAGTCCATGTACAAGACAATTTCAATACAGCCCAGCTAGCATCACCATTGGAAACCAGCAGCTTTGACGTTAACAGGATTGTACTTCAAAAGAATACGCATGTTTGCAGATGGCAACAGGGTTCCTTATTACAGCTGTCTAATCAAGCCAATATTCCGCAATTATGCTCAGAGATCAAACAGCGCTGCAAACAGCGCTCACAATAAAACCAGCACCAGTAAGATGCCGGTGTCACACCTATAGCACTGCACATTCGTGTGCGATTCCACAAGCACGGCATGCACGGTGTTTCAGCTACTGTCGCAAAACTTTGAATGTCTCAGTCACAGCTAGGCAGTTTAAAAAAAAAATATCTATTTTGATTCTTGGCCTGTGTTTATGAAAAAAAGATCTAACACACACCTAAACAAATAACAATATGGCTGTAATTCAGGAACGCTTTTACGTATAGCCTTAACTTTAAGTACAGAACCACTGGAGTCAGCTGAATTCAAACATGTACTTGAATGCTTTGCTGAAGGATAAATTAAACCACATGCCAAAGTCCTTTCCAGAATCAGGGCTTTGATCTTATTTTTATTTTTTTAAAAACACACAAAAGGGCATAGTGCTAACCAGGAATCAGAACATACCATCGACACGAATAATTGTAGCATCTGCGCTAATTCTCTTTTCATCCTGGTACCCCCTATGCTTCCAAGTATGTAAATCTGATTCTCCTTGTGGCTCCGCTAAAGTTTCTATTGATTAAATACCCAGCCCCAGCAGCAGGAGAATCAAGCCCTGCATATTTATTTTCTTCCTCTCAATACATAAAGAATTCCCTTTGGCCTCTCAATTGCTATATCACATGGTACACTGAATGCAAATAGAATTACAGTGATAATGTATCTAATGAATACATTTGTATATGTACGCAAGCATTTTCCTAACAGCATCCTACTCTACACCGCTAAGCAGACCAAAGAATATATATGTTTGGCACACGCAGTAGCAGAGAAGGTGTGTGAAATGAGTGCATATCATTAACAAGAGCCAGACTGCAGTCTTCTGGGGGAAAAACTAACCAAGACCCTTCCAAGATGAAGGCTGCAGGATCAGGACCTCACACAGACCTTTGGAACATTTCCTTTGGAGCTTTACAGCACAATTTGTAGACCATAATTGTTACTTAATGCTGTGTTTTCATCATCCACTAGTATTACACTACATTTATATAAATAGATATAGGAACTGTTGCAATATATAACAGAGATTGTAAGCATTACCAAGAAAGAAATTAGTGATATCATTTCAAACCAAGGTACAAAATACACAGGTACCATTTTGAGCTCCATCCTTTAGAAGACACAGTCTCTTTGAATTATTTTTGGAAGAGTTATTTTATAGTAAACCAAATTCACTCCGGCAGAAATTTCACCGATTTCAGAGTTGTAATAGCTTAAAAATGGGATGCATTTAATTTATTAGCTCACTCCATGTTGATTTTTAAAGTAATCCTGTAAAGTCAGAAAATAAATTGACTTAAATCAGGCTCAAGTACCTACTGGCAATCAGAACCTGCAGAGTCTAAGAAATGTCAGTAAGCTTCTGGATAAGACATACACCAGCACATATACAAATACATGTCCTTGCAACCTCTTTCTAGTTTGTTCAAAGAACACTTTGAAAGTGACTTATTCAGCACAATAGCCATTATTTAAAGACAGTAATGTCAGAAATACAGTTTTTTAGTACTATTTCACTAAAAATAACTCCCACCCCAAACCACAGTTAAAGAACAACACAAATCAAAGCGAGAGTCCCCCTCCTTAAATCTAGGGCAATGGGCGGTCACTTACCCTGTGAGGACCACAACAAAATCCATCACATTCCAACCGTTTCGGAGGTAAGAGCCTTTATGAAAAACAAACCCCAGAGCAATGATTTTTATACCAGCTTCAAAACAAAATATTCCAATAAAGTACGGCTCAGTGTCATCCTGAAAAAGAATAAAAATCAAAGGTGTCAAGGTGATACCTACACTTCTGCACTGATAGCAAGAGTCATACAAACAACTACGTGCACCAACTTCACATCGTTTCAGCTCTCTGAGCAGAGTTGAAACCAAAAGGTTTAAGTTTACTGGAATTAAGGACAGAGAAGAAATTTGTTGTTATTTCTCTGAAGGTAAATTTGTTGTTTCACATTGGAAATTCTATTTGCCTTTATTCTGATCATTTCACCCCACACTTTTCACCTTTACTCAATTTTCTGGAGGGAATTTTGATGCTGCAATTTTGCTCTAAGGGTATATTTAAACTTGAGATCACATATTTCTGTAGTTATTGGCATGAAAGAAAACGCGTGCTGTACAATTCATCCAGGAAACTGAAACAAGAGGATATCTTGGGGAGTAGCAGTCAGCACAGCAAGCTTGCAAACAGCAGCAGGAAATTATTTATTTATCATTTACTCCGTCAGTTCTTCCTTCACTCTTTCTCCTCCATTTTCTCAACTTCCACATCTAAAGTCACATTTGTTTTCCTTTCACTGTGCAGCTGATTCAGGAAGAAATCCCCATTCCCTTCCATTAACAGCAGAAGCAGTAAAGTTTGTGTCTCATGCCCGTGGTACATACTAAAGCATACCATGGGATCACAGCTTCATGTCCTAGCTCACTAGAGAGGAAAAGCAGGCTTCGTCTCCACAGTTTCACTAAACCATTCTTTTTTCCATCTAGGGCACCGGATCCCTCAGTATTATACCTTATTGGTAAGAGTTTCAACACAAATTCAATGCCAAATGGAAGCACTCACATTTGGAAGGAAGGTGCAGGCAAGAAATGGGAACAAAGCAAGAGGTGAAAGCAATGGGCATCAAATTCAAGAACAAGTTAATTAGCTTTGGCACCTGTAACCAATTTCCAAATGTGCCTTAGATCCCTGATTTCAGCTGAAGTCAATGAAAGTAAAGCAGCCCTACCCAAAAGGAAGCAAACTCCCAAATTAAGAGATTAGAAATCTTTGTTCCAGTGGCTTTGGCATTTCTGACTACAAGAAGCCAAAGAGTTGAGCTGCTGTTTGATGCGGAGTTGTTTACATTTTGCAATTCTACTAATGACAAAAGGTGATTTTAGTTCTCTTATACAGAAAGAACATGAATGTCAAGTCTTGTGGCCACAGAACAAAAAAAGAAGCAGTTTTGACACAAGAATCTATTTTACAAACATGGCAACTCTTGCACAACTCTGACCCAGCGCTGGCACACAGAGCCACGCATTAGGCACAGTACTTGTTACAGAAAGGCAGGTTTGTCACACCAAGGAGACCAATATAACAGCATACCCCTCCCAAAGAGGTTTATGCACTTCGCACATCGATGTATACCCGAGTCAACCGCAAAGCACTAATCACTGAAGATGCCTCCAAGCTGTTGGAAATTACTGCTTCTGGACAGGCTTTTCCGCTAGTAGCTGAATTCAAGTTTTGTTTCCTACAAAGCAGCAACCCATACCCCTACACAGCTCAGTGACCCCAGCTCCTCCATGTGCTTCATCTTTCACCCTATGTCATCTCTACTCCCCTCTGCCTTTCCTAACCTCACAGCCCCAACAACTCCACCTCACATTCCCCTGTAGCCAGGCAAGACGACCAGTCACCTGCAGATCACACACATACTGACTGGCCAGACAGCAAAACAGAGCAGATGACTGTTGAGCTCACACTGTAGGCCTTTGGCTGAAATGGAGGGGGGAACCCACAAAAAAAAAAAACAAAACTAACTTCTTCTCCAGCCAAGGAACTGTTTCCACAAATGGCAGCACCTCCAAGCCCTCTGCCCTTCCACAGGACCTCCCTGACACTGCTCAGAGGATACAGAAGCTATCGCCGAGAAACTCAGGCTGCCCATCTCAGTGCTATTTACCCACAGAGAAACAGAAACAAGCCAAGGCCATCAGACTTTTTATGACCTTCAACAGAAATCCTACAATAAGAGTCTTCTTCCAGCAGTTTCTCTTGCAGCAAGAGCTAGGGGCATCCCAGGACTCCAACCCAGTACAGAAAACAAGGAAGAAGAAAGAGAGGGTCAGAAATCATCATATGTGATTTCAGGAGATGTTACCTTACTGCTCCTCTGCTTTCCTTTACACACGCAAGAGCACTCTAACAGCCTGGTCTGCTTGCTCTTCAACCCCAACGACACCTTCTAGTTCAATAAGTATACAAAATCTTTGCAAGCAAACACCTCCTGGCCCATCCTAGATTTCCATTCCACAACTACTAGCATACCTCTAAAAATAGCTCTCCTAACACACCAAAAAAAAAAAACACACCCCCAAAAAAAAAACCCAAAACCAAAAAAAAAACCCTAAACCCATACCTTTCCTCACATACACACTCCCTCACTTTCTGGAAGTCTTATATCTACTCTCTTACCAGTTGTTTGCTCAATCTAGGTCAGGTGCCTTGTGATTACAGCTGCCAGCTGTGAAGAGCCAGGCTTCAGGTACTCAAGGGTTTGACAGACTATGCTCTTCCCAAAGCTAGGACTACACAGAGCTCTTAGGAAGTGGGTCAAAGAAGTTCTTGTCAGCTTCTAGGGAAGCAGGAAGGCTCACAGATGGGCTTGAGTATTTATTACAAATAAGAACTCATCTATAGGATTGGCCATGAGTAGCTGGGGAAATAAGAGGGGGCAGAAAAAGAGTCTTTTCTAAAGCTTGTCTAAATTTACACTAATTTAGCCTAAGAATCAAGGCAGTAACAACAGGATGAAAAATAAAATTTATACTTCATTAGGTAGTGGTGCCTGCTCCTGAAAAAAAAGATTTGCGTGACTCTGCATGATGGAGGGAGCTGGAGGCCAAGGACATGGGTGACATGCCCCATGCAGCACTGAAATGGTGCTGCTGTCAGCTCAGAAATCCTGCTGCCAACGCTTCCTGCAGCCCCCTTCAGACAGGAGGCTGTGCTGCTGCTTGGGTTCAAGAGTGGGAAAGCAGGTGATAATGAGTATCAGTGTGCATGCTTGGAAGGAGGGTGGAGAATTTGGGCAGCAGCCAGAGCCGTGCCAGCAGGTTGTTTGCTGTGGACGCAGCAAAGCTTGAGACTGGGCCAAACACACATTTAATCAATATGTTTCAGATCAGAAACAACTTCTGAGTCTGGAAAGTCATTACTATTCCTAGTCCATGTCCTAGTGTCTTTCTTTGGCCTTTGGATGTGACAGCCTTCATAGGTTTGGCTGTGTAAGGCTTTGTTCATGCAAAGGTTAATATGAACAGCTCACATATGACTGCACAAAGTGCCTGTGGATAAGATAAAGAATTAAATCCATTAGTAAAGTGCAAGAGCTGTCATGCTGAATATCTGAGAAAAGTTATATTCTGTCCTCACGTCAAAAACACCCAGGGGAGCCAAACGATCAGAGCCCTACAGTGGCATGCAGCTGAACAACCTACAGACCCACTGGTGTCTTCACACAGGGTATGCCCCAGAGCAGGGCAGAAAATAGGTTTCCTGTCCCGCAAGTTCCGATTTCTGTCAGGCTGGGACAAATCTATGGTCTACTGAAGCTTCTCATGAACAACTGAGAAATTAGAAAGAAGACAGGGAGAGGGCAAGCCTCCCTCAGCCTGGACAGCCAAGAGCACTGCGAGCAAGGCATCCACCTGCAAGGCCATTCAGGGCTCAAATGTGAAGCTCACATTCCCACATTTGGAGCTTTCACCACCAGGCTCTGGGCCACTCAGTACAACTCCCTCAGCATATTTTCAGTTGGCATCACTCCAGCGTGTACAAACAATGCAATATTTATTGGGACAGCGAGAGACTGACTCTACAACCTATTGGCTAAGGCACTCAGCTGAGATGGACAATAGCAAGTTTGTAGCATCTCTGTTCCAATGGATAATTACTGATGTGAAGTAAACACTTCCAGCAGCCAAAGCATGTGAGACTCCCAGCTCAGAGCAGGCAAGAGCCTAGGGGGTAGGTCATTATACTGCTAGCGGAAGAGTGAGCTTATTTCTCTTGTATGAAGAGCAAGGACTTGAAGCCGATGTTCCAGTTCACCACTAAATGCTTTGACCACCAGACTGGTGTTTTTTCAGAGCCCTGGTTTTGACCAGGATTTCCATCCTAGAGCCAAGTAATGTTTTTCTGTGCTACAAACTATACACAGAAAATGGACAGAGAAAGATTACTCATAACTTAACCCTTCCAATTCTTGAAATATTGCATATACTGAGACATCACTTGCTCTTCCCATGTGCTTAATTAACCCTGCTTGACAAGTAACATGAGCACAGAAAACAGCCAAGTGAGATTGCACTGCAGGTTCATATCTTGGGTCTCTGGGGAGATACATAGAAGAAAATTTTTATTAGAAGAGAAAAGTCATGATTTTTTTTGTATGGACTCCTCTTTTTCTCAGCTTTAACAAAGAGACAATCTTACGATTTTTGTCTTTGTATCTGTGGCACAAAGTACCTGGGCAACTTTGGGTTTCCTTCAGCAACTCTGCCTACATCTCCCAGTCATAAGAGACTTGTGATGTGCATCTTATATCCTTAAGATCTGATTAACTCTTCAGTGATGAGCCCTCACTCCAATTTGGAGATTTTAATGAACCCAGGAGAAGGAAAAGAATATTCATAAATCATTCACCAAAAAAGGCCGATTCCATTCCTGCCAAAGACAGCAAAAAAGCACCTGCTGTTCTGCATGGACTTATAATTTGGCTCAGCAAACCTGTAAATGTATGGGAATGTTCGCCCACTCTGGTTTAGCATGGCTTTGTAACGTTGTCAATGACACAACTTACAGTTTGTGGAAGCGGCAGGAGCATTCTAAAGAGGTTTCACTTTGAAAACCAGAAGGCAGTTTTTCTTATTCACAATGCTTAATCTTTCCAGCATATGCTGAAAATAGAAAATATTTCATGACTTCTAAAGATTCTCAGTGTTATTCTATGATAAATCCCTTATACTTCAGAGTTACAAATGTGCCGTCTTTAAAATGGCTTCAGAATATCTGGAACAAAGACAATGCTGCACAGTGGTGTTTGGGACAAAAAACAGGGGTTAATTCTTCCTTTGTTACTGAAGCAGAGCCAGCAAGGTGGAGACTGTGCATTTAACTCAGTCAGTTGTCTTACACTGTGCAGTAGTAACGCCAGTGCCCCCCCTTTGGAATGGTTTGGGCAGGAACTGAAGCTGCGTGCGCGCGTGGCACTGGGGGCTGTAAAATGGAATTAATACAATGGGGAAAATGACCAATAAAAAGCCCTTAGGATCCCCTTACAAATCTAGGGTTATAGAGGAACATAAAACCAATGTGATAAACATACCTACTGCTGCGTAAAATAACATATCACCAAGGGGTTACCAAGCCAGAACATCCACAAAACTACTTTTTCCCTTCACTAGTCCATATGTCCATAACTATGAAAGGCATTTCCCCAGCTCGATCTTTACCCTGGGTCTAAACCTGCGCTTTGCTCACAAACCCCGGCTTGCCTTGCTAGCCAATCCCAAAACATATAAAGATGTGTTTAATGGTAGACAGATCTTAATTTTTTCCCCATCTCTTCTTAAGTAGAAGTAATTCAAAGAGAAAGAGACTAAACAAACACAATGTAGGTGGGCAGCCAGCATCAGTGGATACATTTCCAAACAGACAGTATCAACTAGCTGACCCTGAAGCTCTCTCTAGATCTATCACTTATATACCTTTCCCTGATTCTGAAGACTGAGATTGTGGGAGTTGCCCACTGCTATGGACCAACCTTAGAAACTGTAGCAACTGGCGTTCAGAGGCTCTAGCTTTTGGCAGCAAGCCTAATATTATCTTTGTTTGCATAATTTAATATCTACATTTAAAACACATACGGGTCCATATTTATTCATCCTTTTGAACATGCACCGGGATTACTGCATTTAGGCATGAAAGATGTTCCAGATCATTAACAGCAGAAGAAAAATCAAACCAAATATTACCCATTTTTCCTATAGTGATGATAAATGGAAGAATGATTTTGGAGCTATTCTTTTATTTTCTTTTTAAAGAAGGTAATTGGGCTCATTACCATAAAGCCTGCGGGTAAATTATTTTCCTCTGTAAGTTGGTTTCTTTTTTTGGAAGGGAAGTGTAATCATCTAAACCCAAAGTTTGCTTTGTAGGGTCCTTGATATATGCTGTAGCAGGAAGATAGCTGAAAGACATATGAACCTAAAAGGTTACTCTGTTCTACCACTTCCTGGGAAAATATCACAGAAGTTAATTTGATTCTGCAGATAATTCTGAGCATTTGGCAGTCCCTTCCTGTCTTGGTTTATAGACAGCTTAGGTCTTGGTTTATAGGCAACCTAAGTTTGCTGCTCTTCTGATTATACTGTAAGGTCTGCAATTGGGCAGGGCTGGCTAGAGTGATGAAGCATTCTTGTGAAGATGGGATTGGGAGGTTAGAGTTATACTTGTTGTCACCGAGTTATTTTTTCTGATCGTCAGGTCAATGCCCATTTGTTTACATGTGGATCTTTAAAATAGATACAAGCACTCACAATACTGGGTGGGTGACTGCTTTTTGTATTAGACCAGAAACAAAAATGTAAATAAATGAATACAACTCACCAATCTCTCTGACATTGGTGTCTTGTCTCCATCCGGCAAATGTTGTTCCAGAGCCAGTACAATACAGTTGGCTATGATTGTAGCTAAAATCATGTATTCAAATGGAGTGGGGACCAGAAGTTAAAGAAGACACTAGACAACACAAGGAGAACCTCATCCAAATCCTATTTCTACCTAAACAGTTACATTAGTTGAGCATTCTAAGAACTCTCATCTTTTTTGAAGACATTTAGTCTCCTTGGCTTCCTCAGTTCTTTCTGGGGTGTCTTTAGAGGAAAAGTAGGAAATTTGCTCTCTTCTTTAAGACAGTTAGTGACTTACACAGAATCTGAGCTGCCCAAGGAATTTGGGAGCAAGAAAGCAAAAGGTCCAAAGGAAACAAAAAGCTATTAATAATTATTATTTTTAAATGAGATTGATAAGTTAAACTGCACCCAAATAGCTGAATACCATCTGCTGAATTGTTCTTCAGAAATTCCCTGTCATTTAACTTGAGCACATAAGAAAAGTTCTATTTAGAGTGTCTACACAGGTCCAAGACATGAATTTCTGCCAGATTGCAATGCCCACTCCTTGTGAGAGCAAAACCATCAGCGCCCTGTCGGGATGTACAAGGGAAGTGATCCCACGGGAAAGAAGGCAAACCCGATACTAGTTGCCCCCTTGCCTTTCGCCTTCGTCTCCAGCCCTGAACCGTGGGGAGCCCAGGGCATAGCCGCGCCGCGGGCGGCAGCGGGGCCCCCGGGCGGGAGACATCTCTGCTCAGCACCGCGGACAGCTCCCCGTCAGCACCGCGGACAGCTCCCCGTCAGCACCGCGGACAGCGTCCTGTCCCGGCCGCCCCCGGCGCGCAGCTCCGGCGCGGGGACCGGCTGGTGGCTGTGCCGAACCGGCTGGATCCGCAGCGCTGGGGGTCCCCTCCCCACGCTTGGCCAGGAAGACGCAGACGGAGTCGCCCATGAGACGGGAGAGGGCTAGACTGCGTCTAGCCTGGCAGGAAACGCCGTGCTCTGCCTGTCGCCGGAGCTTCGGAGCTTGTTTACTCAGACTTGAAGGCAGGGAAGGAGAAATGGATGAGGAAGTACAGCACTCCCTGTGATTTTATAATAGGAACAGAAAAATGGATATGTGTGCGTGTGTCCAGGGGGAAGGGAAGTGCATTCACTCTACTGGTGTATTTTTTTCCTGTTAGCCCCCTCAGGAAGTGAAAACTGGGAAAGCTTGAATGGGAGCTAGCCTCTGTGGCAATTGGAAGTGTTGCTAGGAGGATGGAAAGAGGCCTTGCTGCTGTTAGCTGAGGATTAATAGGTGTGCGATACCAAATGAAAAGAAAACAACCTGCTCCCTTGAGATCACCAGTGTAATGCACTCCTGTACACACACACACACACACACACTGTATCAGCTGCCTGGTAACCTCAAATAGACTGCTTCCCTTTTCTCATGGCTTACAACCCCCCTGTGTGCATCATTACAAGCAAAGCCCTCTTCTGAGGAAGATCTCTGCAGCTCACTTGGCCTGGGAGCTGGTTCTGAGACAGAAAGCATCTGCCCCTTTCACAATACAGCAGATGATCCTTCTCCCCACTTACTGCCTCCCTCTGCCACAAAGCTTTTCCTTTTTATTTTTAATTTTTTTTAAGTATAACCTAAGCTTAGGCTACACACCTAACCAAAGGGACAAGATTCATGTTGATTCTAATGTTTTCAGGAGGTGATGTACTAAAAAACCCTGGCTGCAAGGATTGTATTAATGGGATTTGCAACATACCTTGGCTATCAATATCCCTACTATCACTGCAGCCTTAATGCTAAGGTGTCACCATTTTTATCCCATGTTCTTTCTATTCAGAGTGAGAAAGAAGAGTTGAAAGGCTCTAAGATGGAAATAAGAATTAGGATTCATTAGCATGAATCTCACAGAACCCTTTGCATTTGGCTTAAATTGCAAGAAATGTAAATCTATGCAACTGTATATGTCACACCTAAATACACACTGAAATGCACGTATGTCTCACACACACCCCGACATAGTCAAAAGCACACTCCGCCGTTCCCACAGAAGCAATTTCCTATGATCCCCAGCTACACGGTCGTACATTATGTCGGACACACAGATCCATGTCACACACACCCATTACACACACTGGATCACACATGCACATCTACATTAGCAACAGCCACTCATCCTTAGCTGGTATGGGGGGTCCCTTTCCCCCAGTCTCCCTCTCCCCCTCCCCACCTTCCCCACCGTGCCCACACACCCTCCCTGAAAGGATATGGCCACTCTGTTATTCTCTTGGCATATTTCCGTATAACATTATCTTCACTGAAGATGAAGAGGGATCTGTTGACTGTGAAGCAGTTCTGTTTGACAGGGATGGGGTTGTAGAGAGCCATAGTCCTGGCCCTCTGAGCCATCGACTGCTTATACATCCTTTGGCCGGCTTGGGGGCCACCTTGCCGGCTGCTCCCTCTTCCAGCCCCGGCCGGCCCTCCACCTCCATAGCGGGTTGGCAGATCATCCCCGAACCGAGCCATTCTCTCAGTGCACGGAGCCGGGCGCTACAATCCAAACTGGCAGCCTAAG